GTTCGTTCGTTCGTTCGTTCGTTCGTTCGTTCTCCACGTAGGAAGGAAGTCGCGCCGGCGTAATTGTTGTCCGCTCCAACACAGAGAACGCGCAGCGGACGGCTGTCTCGGACAGTACTTGCGCGACAGGATGCCGCATTCAAGGAAGTGTAACTCGGTCCGCGCGAACGCCGCCGCCACATCGCTCGCAACGGGGTGCCTTTTAATCGCGCGATACATCGTACATTATTCATCATTAAATTAGACACCTTCAAATTCCTGGTAATTTTTCTAATTAGTACGCCGAGGTCAGCAGACGGCTCGCGATAATTTTTTTTTTTTTTTTTTTTTTATTACCGCTATTCAGACCAACACGGTGAGGAAGCGAACTATCGAGACGAGAAAAACTGTTTTTCTCTTTCTATCGATCGATCTGTTTTTTTTTTTTAAACATGTTCCATTTTTAATGTTTGTCCAAATATTAATTTTGGAGGTTCGAATTTGTATCAAAATTTTACGGACGAGAGAATCTCGCGCGCGAAATGATGAATTTTTTCCCGGGAGAGAAAATTGACATTTGCGCGAGAGAGTAGGATCCATCTTCTCACCATTGGGCCGCGCGACTATTTTCAAACGCGTCTTATTCATCGGCGCGGCATTTCTGATTCCCGGCGTGTAACCCATTATTTTAAGATTGCACACACCCCGTTACTCGCAGAAATACTTCTCTCGATACCGCCGAGAAGCCTAGATAGGCGTCTCGTTGTTTATTATTCATCGCGAGTTGCCCGGTGCATCGCAACCGTATTGTCGCATCGGAGCGACACGGAGCGCACGTTCCAATTCGTTCCGAAACAGTATCGTCCGGCGGCGGGTTAGGCCACGTTCGATGAAATTCTAGGCCGACGACTGGCGCGCGCGGCTCTATTTCTAAATCCACTTCTATTCTCTCTATTTCCACGGACGGCGACGTCGCCGCGGCGACGAGTTTATACGTCTGCGATATTTCGAGGATACTCGAGCTCTCGAGGATGCCCTGGCGCGACGCGGATGAAATTTCGAAATGAATTTCATCGCGAGAAGTTTATGGTTACGTTAAAACGTGTTTAACTTTGCGCGTCTAAAACTGATGATCTCGACGTTCATTAATTTTTGTTTTTTAGATCTTTTGAAAAATTTGTACTTTGCGCAAAAATTTGCTCGCGTTTCGGCATTTCAACGTCTTATGTTTTTGCTTTGCTACTGTTTTTTGTTTTTTTTTTTTTTTTTTCGTATCGTACATGTCATGAATTTCCTCGCTGCTACGCGATCCCATCGAGGAAGACTAAATTGCTCGTTTGCGCTAATGCACTTGATATCGTTTAATAGGCTGTTATGAGAATCATCGAGTACGGGAGAGACGAGATAGGGAGAGAGAGAGAGATAAATAATGTTCTATATATTTTTCTCACCAGCAGAGTTTGATACAATCGAATCTCTCGCGTATTTCATCTTCCATTATTTTAATTTATTGTTTTTTTTCGTTCGTTGAATGTTCAACATTTCAATTGTAGTCAACAAAACTTTATTATTTTCTAATTCTACAACACGCGTATGCGCGGCGGGACAATTGTTCTCTCTCGATTCGCGAATCGATAAGTTTTCTCGGGAGAATAAACGAGCAGAAATATAAATGTGTAATTAAAATGGAATTTTTAACACCGGCGTTAATTACGTGAGAATTAACTTCTTCCATAACTGTGCGTGTAAATAATCAATCGCGTTCACAAGATCCAATCCTTCCAAATTGTGTGCGTCGATGTTGGTCAAATCGACGGTCTTATCTCAGAGAACACACACGCGGACTATCGATCGAAATGTAAAAACCTCATATTATTTCTTTTATTAAACACTATCTGCCTTGTTCCGTTTGCTTGCAAACATCAATTTACAATTCGATTGCGGATATATGTATGTTTTCTCTTTCGATATACATTATTCCGTTCGGGTCAGTGCGACGATCGATGCAACCTCGTGAAACCTCATACGACATTACCTCTTATCTACTTAATTGTGTTTTATTAACTCCGAACTTGTCCCCGTTTTTGCCACAGTTCGAAGCGTCAAAACATTCCTTTTCTCGTAGACTACGTTATTTCACTTTGCGATATCACGCAACGTGAATTTTAATAAACCGTAAGTATAGGTTCGAGCAAAACCGCGAGCACGCGCAAAGTTCGAAATGCGGAATTGATGCGGTAACGTATATATTTCGATCTTTTTCGTGTATTAAATCTAATAACAACGCGCGGAGAGAGGGGCGGCGCACATATCTCCGTGTCAAACATTTCAGCGATAGACGTAATCGCATTCGATCGAGCAATTAGCACCGCGACACGGTGCGGTGCCATTAAACCGCCGGCGCTTTCCACGTGAACATAATGTGCGTTCGTGTGAACTCGCCAAAAAAAAACGCTAATACAATCGCGACATAGATATAATCGCGCGTTATATTGCGCGTGCGGTTGCGTGCGATGATGTACTTCGCGAACGATGTCGGACGAAAAATTGAAGAAAAAGAAAAAAACAAAACGTGTGACAACGGACTCAGTTTGCGCGTCTCTCAAAGAAGCACAAACGTGAATTATTTTTTTGCTATCGTGAAAACAAGCAAAATTATAACTTTGCAGATATCGATCCGTCTCTCGCGCGTTTCTTCTATCTGTCATAAACGCTCGCATCACCTGTCATTTGCTTATCTTTTTCGCAGATTAGACAAATGGGTTTTTTTCGAAGTCGCCTCCTCAGAATTCATGAGCTCGGCGATGTTTGCTCGGAGAGACTCCTCTCCTTGACATTGATTTCGCAAAATCGCATTTCATTGACCCTTTGCTCTGTTTTTTTTTTTTTTTTTTTTTATTTATCTTGTTTCGCACAAAAACAAGCGGCGTTTCTATTTTTTAGTTAATATTTTAAATCAGAAATCTAGTCGATATATTAAACTTTCGGCCGAGCAAAGAGAAAGAAATCACATAGAATCGTATGTTTCGCCGAACTAATACAAAAATCTCGCGAGGACTATATGAGTCGATAAACAATTGCATAACGACTAGATCGTATGAATAGATAACGAAAAGACAATTGTTTATGTGTGTGTGTGTGTGTGCGTGTGTGTGTGCGTGTATGTAAATAAAATAGCGCGTTGTTGCTCTGATCCGCTCGCGCGGTTAGATCGTCGACTTTAAGAAGCGGCCGTTCTCGCATTAAATGCAAAGACGCAATTGTCGGACGATCGTTGTCGTTATTTCGCTATTTCTAGCGCTCCGCGTGCAATTCTCGGAGGAGGAATAAAAGATCGACGGCCATTTTGCGAATCCATTTCGAAAGCTCGCTATGTCGCCAGAAGAGCGCGCCACGAGTTTCGGCGACCGAGAGCGGCTACAATTTAATAGCTCGCGAATATATACTAGCGCATAGTTTCGGAGCAGATCTCTACGTGTGATCTTTGATCTTTCTCGCGCACACACAACTCTTGCGGTTGGTCGTCAATCAATTTTGAAAGAATATATCCGCGGTCTTGTACGTGCGAGAGATCAAGAAATACTTCGGTGAGGACTAAAAAAAACTGACATAAGTAAAAAGCAAATACGCGCGTTTTTACGCGCATTTGTGTCGCGTATTGCGTTAATATTTTTTTGCACGCAACTCTCTCTCGATCGATCTTGCGAGTTTATCGCTAAACATCGAATTGCCACTATTCATACGCGATAGATGACGATATTAATAACTTAAGTGGCTCGCAAATGCGCGCTCCGAGAAATTTCGCAAATTCTGCAAAAAAAAAAAAGAGATTAATCGCACGTCGATACAAAGTCCGTCTCATTATGCAGCTCGTTTATTCCGATATTATAGCGTGTCGTGAAATAGACGTTCGTATTATAGACAATGTGCATATTAAACTCTGGTGTAGCGATAGAGAGAGCGAGTGGTCTCGTTACGAAACACATGTTGCATCGAATCAAAATAGCAAATGTTTATACACACACACACACACTTCGCGTCACACTCGGCCACTCCAATTTTACATATTATCCGAATCTTTAATGCGATACGATAATTATTGACAACAAAATCATCGTTTTCGAAATGTGTTAATTTCTTACTTTAGTTGTTTTTCCGCTACGTGCGTGTGCGTGTGTGCGTGCGTTCGGCTCGAGCGACGTCGTGCTTACGTGTCATTGAGATGTCTTGTTGTCAGTTTCTATGTTTATTTTTCTACGTTTCTGGTGTGAGAAACCGAAATTTATCGCAATCGTCGTGTCACAGTGCCCGATCATGTGATTCCCATGTTTTCTATCCTCGCGCCCGTGCACGTTTCGCGATGTGTCGCAAAGACGACCGCGAGCGGTGGTAGCCGCCGTGGAAGGAACAAGACGAGAAAGAGACGAGGCGGTAGGAGGGAACGGAGCGAAACGGAACGAGAGTCGCCGAATGAGGGTGAACACAGTACGACGGGTTCGGGGCGAAGGGAAGGGCAAAGACGGTGCGAGGGAGCGAGAGAGGAGGGGATGCGCGAGCGATCGGCTCTCGCTCTACTCAGTTCCCGTCCGTCTGGCAGCCGGTTGTCCACGCGCGCGGATAGTTGACAGCTCGCCGCTTTTCGCGACGCTGCGCGAGCGCTTTCGATTCACGTGATACCGCGACGTCTCTCTTGTAGTTTTTTTTTTCTCGATTCTCGCCCTTCTTGCTTAAAGATCGACGTGGTCGTGTAAGCCGGAACGAAACACGTCCGCCGGTTATCCGAGCCAAGTTCTCGACACGGAAACGGAAGGAATCCGTCCGTGTCACGCGCGACGTTGCCGCCGTTTCGCGAAATTCGCGGGAGTCTGCGCGGGCGTCTGCGCCTATTGCGCGAATCATCGCGACGACGACGACGGCGGCCGCCATGTCTACATTTTCCCGGGATCATTTGGATATTCCACGACACGAGGCTGACACGAAAAAAAAATCTCTTCCTCGGAGATCGAGCGCCGCGACCAACACGGGAAGCCAGCGCGGAGAGGAAAAACCACATTCTAGCGGCGGGTCGTCGTATCAAAGTGCCACGAGTTAAATAATCGAAGGTAAATGTTTTGATAAAGCGCTACTTGGCGAGCGGAAAAAAAAAAAACATAGTATAAAAAGCGCGCGTGATTTTGTTCGTCGCTCGCTTAAAGGAAGCTCTTTTTTTTCTCTCTCTCTCTCTTTCTCTCTCTGTCTATCTTTCTCGCGAGCGCCTGGTCTTTCCATTACGTCAGTTCGACGTCGCAGGAAATTGACGAATCACTGGCAAACGAGTGAGAGAGCAATGAGTGCGTGTTTCGCGCGACTTCCTGCGCGGACTAAGAATTGCATAGTTTCTGCGAATTATTAGAGAAACAATTTTTTTTTTTTTTTTTACATCAATTGTCGCGTCAATACGCGAAATCGTAATTTGCAAAAATAGATTTGAGTGTTTTGCGGGAAAAAAACATTCCGAAATTCGCGCAACCGAAGTAAAATGCGATTATAACTTGAGAAAAAACAGCTATTCTCGCTTGCATATTCAAACGTGGCGACGTTATCATACTTTAGAATGTTAAATACGACAGAAAATCGCGCGCGCGCGCTATCTTGTAATTAGAAGCTAAAACTCCGCTCAGAATAATATCGAGACTGTGTGAAATGAAGACAAGGTGGAAATCTAAAAAAATAAGAAATTATCTTAAAATTTGCTGATAGAGATATGCGCGCACACGCATATATGTATATATATATATATATATATGCATGAAAAGATATATACTGGCTTTTAGCATAACTAGGTCAAATAGTTTTTCTTATCTAAAACGGTCAAGCGCAAAAATGTAGAAAAAGAACATAGTTTAAATAAGAAATTACAGAAGAGTCGGAGCAAAATAAGCACGTCGGAGGTAACATTTTTTGTTTCGCGCACTTGCCACGTTTTTTTTTTTTTTTCTTTCCCCACTTGTCCCGGCTAGTTCTCGCGTGAATGGAGTAGCTCTCTCGGTCGAAAAAACGGAGCGGAGAGAGAGAGAGCGAGCGAGCAGGACGACAGGATCCGCGCGGCATAGCTAATACACACACCGGCGGCGAGCGTGCCTTTATTTAGACAGCCAGTCGTCGATCGAACAGTAGTTTCCGATGTTCCTCGAGCGAGGAGAATTAACAACTCGACATTCAAGCGTCCGTGAAGAACGAGCGATGAGATCGAAGAGGTGAACGCACTGACGCGAAATTTACGTCAGGCGTGCGCGTGTATGCTGCAGCACGCACGTGCACGCTCGCTCGCTCCGCTCTCGGTGTGTGTGTGTGTGTGAGTATATGGCGCGGGGTGCGTGGGTTTGCGCGTTTGATCTTCAACGAATGCCTCAAGTAAATTCATGTATTATTAGATAGATAACGACCACACACACAGACACACGCGCGATATTGCGCGTACAAGCGCGCAAAATTTCGGCCGGGGGTTACATAAAGGCGCAAAAGTGCGCGTAAGGTCCGACCGTTCTATTTCTGTGCCGGCGACCGAGGCGCGTTCTAGGGCAGCGGTTCTCAACCGCATTCCTTCAATCTTCGGGATTGGAGGCGGAAGTCCGGTTATACTCCGCTATACTAACTAACCGCGCGCTTAATATCGACCGGTCGATCGTGAGATCGTGCCGAACGACCCGGCGCGCACACACACGCTATCGCGTCGCGAAATTTGTGGGAGATTGAAATATCAATTTAACGAGTTCGCGGATGTAATTACGAAACGAAATAGATTGAGAGAGAAAAAAATTGTTTCGTCAACAGAATCGAATTTAGAACGCGAAAATTTGTTACGAATTATCTTTCCGGAAAGAGAGTTTGAAAAAAATAATCGTTCGATAATAAATTTATACGCGAGTGATCGATGGTGTAGTTTTTTTTTTTTCTACGACACCGTGTGTCGCACAATTGTTATCCTAATTGATTGCGGTCGCGTTATTTCGCGCGTTATCGCGTATTTATAAAAATAAAATCCATCTACATCGGGCCCGAGCGAGTATAAACTTTGGTCCGCAACGAGATCCTTTTAACTCGATCCCACTTCGGCGACCTTTCACGAATTATCAGCGTAACGATAACGTTCTCTCTCAATGCGTGCTCTCAAAACATCGTACGTACGTGATTCCGTACACGGAGTATGCGTACGTAAAGAGTCACAGGTCGTTTCCGCGGCTCGATAAGAGTCACTGATTCGAGAGAGCCACTGAATGGAAAGGGTACGGAATAATACGCGTGTTCGCGGTTATCTCCGCTCGCTAGTTTTGTTTGCTTTTTATTAACGTTGTAACGCGATAATTTCTTCTCCAAATTGCGAGAACCACAGTCGAGCGACTGTCGTACGCTTTTTCTACATATTGTCTTGGTAATTTTTTTTTTTTTTTCCTCGCTTTTAGCGCCGCGAACGGAAAGATACTGTTATTACAGAATCGAATTCCGCCACGTAAATGACATTATCGTAGCCACACCGTAGAATAATTTCGAACTGTTCAATCCCGGGGGAAAAAAAAAAAAAGAAGAATGAAATCATTATTTATCTCGAAAAAAAAAGGGATTGCGGCGCGGGAGCGGCATGGTGGAAAATAATCGCGTGTAAAAGAGTTGCAAGGTTTTTTTTTTTATCTCTCATTCTGTTTTTTTTTCCTTCTCGCCATAAGTTTTTCACGGCGCCACATTATTGGCGAACGTCCAACCGTGGCGGCGGCCCCAGTGCCTCGTCTATTTTCGTTGATTCCGATCTTCCTGAAAAGCCAGGCCGCGGAGCGAGAGCTCGTCTCTCTGCTCCTTCCGCCAATGGCATTTAGCGCGACCACCGTCACTTTTGAAAGCGTTCGCTCGGCCGCCGACGCCACAGAGGCGCGCGATTAATACCGACTAGAAAGATGACAATAATCATGACGAATCGGCATCGCGATTTTAACAAATGTCGCGGATAATAAAACGACGATAATACGCGGCGACCCTATTGTATTTATCCTCCGCCGCAATTTTGACGCGCGTATGTACATCGCGACGTTTAAAAGCGCATCAACGACGCTTTAATATATCTCTCTCTTGCTGTTTTCGCAAAAATAGAACGCGTCAACGAGACGAAATAAATGTGCGAAACAAATCGCCGTATATTGGTGTCCCACTGGCATTTGCTTAAAACGTTTCTATTGAACATCGAGAAAAACAATTTGTTCACAAAATTTTTCAACAAACAAAGTCTTCGATAAAGTTTAACGACGCGATATTATCTCGGAGAGACAATTTTAATTATTCGAATCAACCTATCAGTTTGCATCGAATGTTCACGACGCTTTAAACATTTCTACACACCTAGTGTATTTTCATAAGAGCTAAGTGCGACACGCGCGAATATGTCGCGGAGGATATATTTCGTTTGCGTCAAGTATAAAAGCTGATTCGACATCGGAATAAAATTCCGCTCAACTCTGCTATAAAAAGATAATTTTGCAATTGACACCGCGTGTAGTGTCAAGTTAAAAGAATTTTATCGCAAGGCAGAGACGCGATCTTTCTCTCTCTCTCTCTCTCTGTCTCTCATGCACACGTACACACTGTTACATTCTTGTACTCTTTCTCTCTCTCTCTTCGTTCGGCGCCGCCGCTCGCCCCAATCGCTCGTTGCACGCACCAACGCTTCTCCCTCTGCGCGGCGGCATGCAACAGGTATCTGTGCTGACGACGTCACACGCACACACACGTACTGTCAGGACGAAGCGAGAAGGAGCTGCGACGCGACAAAGACAGATCGATCAAATCGGAGACACACCGGCGAAGGAAATACTCGCGGAGAGGAGAGAGAGAGAGAGAGATAAGATGATGCGCAGTGGGGATGCCGGGTGAGGAGGATCACACATGCGAAGACTCGGTCCGCACACACGTGTCGGACTAAATTCCTCCCCGTTTCTCTTTCCGTTTCGTGATCATTTCTCCTCCCTCTCGTCTCTCGTCTGTGCGCTGCTTTGTTGGCCGACGACAAGCTCGGGGCTTAACTCGAACCGAGTTGTGTCACCGCGACGCGCCGTGTGTGTTACGACGCTGTTATTCAACGCGTGCGCGAAAATATGCGGCGACGGTCAAACTGCGCGTCGACCCGAAAATCGTAGGCCGCGGGTCTTCCGCAGAAGATCGAAGTGCCGAGAGAGAAGGAAAAATCAGTCGCCTGTTCTTTTCTTCAAACAATAGCATCAAACAGGTTTTTTTTTTCAAATGTCCACTTTTAATTTCTACAATTGTCTCTCTGTAAAAATTAAAAAAAACGCAAATACGCACTTTGACAAACAAACAAAAAAACCGGTAATTTCGGAACTTCTCTCGTTGCGTGCATCACGCACGCGCGGATTCTGTTTACAAAATTCCTTCTCCTCGCGGGTCTCATCGCGCGCGGCGGGAAGTCCAAGCGTCCGAGCGGCGACATGTCCATAATTCCGCGAACTGCTTTAACAACGTCATGAATCACGGAATGACTCCGTGCGTCGTCGTAATGTATGCGCGCAGAAGCGAAGAGATAACAGGCGCTGCCATTATTTTCGTACGCGATTATTATTCCGGACGTGACGCGACTGTGTGTGTCGCGTTTTGCGCGAGTCGCTCGCTCGGTCGATAGTGTGCAATACACATCGATAACGATTATAGGAGGAAGTACGTGTAGTCGAAATGTTAATTTGAAAAGGTCTTTCTTTCGCAAGTCTTTGGTTTGTCCAACAATAGAGAAAGAATGAGAGAGAGAGAGAGAGGAAGGAGAGAGGGAGGGAGAGGAAGATGTGGTACATCACGAGCACCTCCTTTTCCGTTCGCCGTGAAACGAAACGCGATCTAAATCTTCCTCTTCGAGCATAATATTAAGCGACGATTCCGAGCAGGACACACGCTCCTTGGACCAAGACGCGACTTCTTCCGCGTGTAAGCACAACGTGTACGGTCCGTGTACGGGGAATATAAGGTGTAGGCTCGTACGCGCAACATGCGTAATGGACGAGCGTTCCGTGTCGTCGCGGCTTAGACCCTAATGACGTCATTATCTCTAATTAGAATTCCCATGGTGGTG